TGCATGACTTTCCATTGTCATTGGAATTTGACATTTATATTTGTGGTTGGAAAAAGAGAAAAAAAGAGCGATTTCTTGGAGATTTCCTATTTTTTTTTCTGGGTTATACGTTTTTTTCTGGTTTGTTTTTGGGTGAAAATTAATTAATTTCAAAATTTATTATAATTTTCTTAAGTATAAACTAGAAAAGTTGAGAGGTGGCAGGATAATCATAAGAGCATTTTTTAAAACAAAAAAGACAGGAGATTTTAAACAAAATTTTTACTTTAAAACTATTATGATTTTTATCTGTATAATTTGTTAATAATTTTTATTTTTATACCTATTTACAAACTTTGATTTTCGTCTTAATGGCTTATAATTTATTGCTATTTTAGTTTCTGGATTAATTCATACAAGAGATCGAAACAATAAAAATTTGTAAACCTTAGGGACCGAAACAACGATAAATTATAAATCAATGAAAACAAAAATAGCAATGAATTAAAAACCATAAGAATAAAAACCATAATTTCTAAACTAGAGTTATGAAAAGTGTAACATCTATACTATATTATAAAACATTTGATAAAAATTCATAAAAACCATTTTTTATGTATGAAGTACTGTGTATTAATGCATATTACTTAAAATTTAAGATTACAAGTAAATTATACGTAAGTACAACTTATTAAAGCTCAATTTTTGAATTCGTATAACTAACTGCGAATAAAAATAATCAAATACAAGATAAATATCTCATTTTTTATATAAAAAATCTAAAATATAATCAGGATAATCATTGAGTTCAAAAATAATCATTATCTTTATAAAATTTTATTGTTAAGCCAAAAAACAAATTACTTCACTAAATCATAAAAACATTATTTTTTTCAAAACCACATAAACCATATTACATGAACAAAGACAAAAAAAAAAAAAAAACATTAAAATGAATATATATATCTCGCTGCATTATGCGAGTACCCTTCTAATACTCTCAAAATAAAAAATGTAGGAAAGAGAAAAAAAAATATTGTTTATTATTATCATATTGTCATCAATAATAAGAAACATTTAAATTAATGTTTTGTGATGAAAATTGATATTTTATTAAAGTATGAAATTTTTGATTAATATAATTAATATTATAACTTAGAAATGGTCATAATTAAATATAAGTATTTTTTGAAAGTTTTAAATTTTAATCTCTATTTTAAAGAATTTGTTGGAGATGGTCTAACTGTCCGCTACCTACAACCTACTCTCTGGTTTCGTTATTGCTCTTCTAAACCTTTTAACATCCAATATTCAATTATAATCAGTCGGTTCTAATTGAAACAGCCAATTTAAATTTGATCTGATGACTTCTTGTACATTCTTAATCCTCCTATAAGAAGAAAATGACACATAAACCATATCTAATTGTAAGAAAAAGGCTTGGTATAAACAATTTACCAAATAGCAAAATAAAGTTAATATTTATATATTATAAAATTCTTTTTGAAACTAATTTCACCCAAAGATTAAATGTAAGATATACAACATGACCCCCCAACAAACAACAATTATACTCCACCACAATCACAAAATATTTCTTATCATGTAAGACTCTCGGTTATTTCTTTGTTCTTATCGGATAAGATTCTTGGTCCTTTTCATATTTACCCGGTAATGTACTGTAACTTGATAAGCTCTTACCCGAGTAAGCATTTGATAAACGTCCCCTTATTTTTCAAAAAATGTCGAGTTTCCATCATTTTATAGTTTCCATCTAGTTTATCAACTAGTTTTTTGTCAAACGTGATTTGTTCATCAATTACCTTATCGACCAACTAGTTTTTGTCAAACATGATTTACTCATCAGCTAACAATTAGCTTATCAACACATCAACTACTTTGTCAAAAAAGACCTTAATTTATAAGACCTATAATATAATATGGTATGAAAGTTAATCTTGTTTTTATTTATTATTCCTTAAATCGATTTATAATTCTATACATATTTAACGGTGAATAAAAAATCAATGAGGAAGTACGTATGGACAAATATTACAAGGAATTAGGAACAAGATATGTTGGAAGGACCGATTAATTGTATACGTAAGGATGAGTAGGAGCGGAGCTTTGAATTTGGAGTTATGTTGAATATTATTTGTTTATATCCATATTCTAGAAACTTCCTGGAATTCTTAATATTTGAAATATATATATATATATATATATGTACGTATATATATTTGAATATATGTATAAGTCAAAGAGTGTTGGTCACGATTGATTAATTAATCAATTATCCTTTTTAAGTTTACGTTTACACCATTGCTGTTTTGCAACTTCCCAAACGTGACAAGTGGAGTAACTATCTTTATATTTTGTTATAAGTGGTGACGGTGAGGAAACTTAAATTATAACTTCCTTAGTTTTTAGCAGCAGTATCTTGATCAACTCCAGATTTAATAGAGACAAGCTTTGTAATCAATTTAGTAATAAAAGAAACGGCAAAATTAGTTGATTTATGATCAATTCCACGTAGAAATAAAGATGATGAATCATACACTCAACCAATGAACTATATAAGGCCTCTAATTAATGACGGTTCAGCTAATAGCTCACTTATCGAACGCTCTTGCATCGAAGATGAAGGAGGCTAAGTGATCTTGAATACATCTTAGGGACTGTTTGACAGTTGCTGAATGGTTTGTTGCTGAATGATTGAGTAGGTTCTTATGATATAGTGTAAAATGAAATATAATTATTTACAACGAAATTAGGGTGCTGAATGGTTAAGAGAGGCACATGATACAAAATCATTAAAAGAGTTTTAGAACCAATAAGAGGCAAACTTTTTTTCCCGCCAAACAGGATTCATTTCTTAACGATTCAGAGGCTGTCTTTTAATGGAACTATTAAGAGGTAAACAAACAACCCCTTAATATAGTACATAGGTACATTATATATATAGGGGAGCGATCAAATGCAAATCACTCAATTTGTACAAACCGTACAAACCGCATTCAACCAATCATAATTTTTTCATTTTGTTCATTTTTTGTAATTATGATAGGTTGATTAATAATTTTTATTGTGGAGGGTGTTAATCATAGATATTATCATCTTCATTATTTTAATTTTAGAGAAATACATGAAACAGTTTCATTAATGTTAGAGAAATACATGAAACAGTTTCATTAAGTATTATATGAAACAATTTCACAACCATATATGAAACAACTTCATCAAAAAAATTATTATATGAAACAATTTCACAAGATTAAACAATTTCATGAAAAATTTTCATAAAATTAAACAATGAAATCGACAGATGAAGGTGGTTTGCACGGTTTACACAAATGAAGACGGTTTTCATATGATCACTCCTCTATATATATATATATATATATATATATATATATAACAGGTTGAATTTCGGTGAAAATAAAAGTTATGGTGAAAATGGTAAGAATAGATCTCAACCATTGAATCAATCATGATTGAAGATCAATACTAATGCGATGCATCAAAATGCACTGGATCGATTCTTGTGATATACATAATTCATAGGGTGAGATGAGATTAAAAGTGATCAACGATCCAAATTATTTCTTACACTTCTCACTTTAACTCATATTCTCAAGTCATCGTTCGTCACTATATTTTAAAGCTATTTTTACAGTCTATAACAAAAGATAAATAAACAAACCAATTAAATACCAGAATTGTGTTTCTAAGACGTGCTTTGAAATGAAAATAATAAACCATTTTTCTAAGCAATAAACCTACTATACGAAACAACCAGCTACTTTGATAAGTGCTTAGCTAGGAGCTTATTCATAGTCTTTTTTAGGAAGAGGTGGATTGTTTACGACCATTTATTTGGTTTGACACTAATTTTTAATAGTTTGTAGATTAAGCACTAAAGCAGCCCCATATTTATGTACCAATTTGACTTTAATAATTCTAAACTTATATTTCCATCCACTATTTCAACTCGTTTTTTAAGTAAAAAGAAACATCGATACTTAATTAAGGTTGATGATAATAGTGACGGTACATAACCTATCATTAAAATATATATATATATATATATATATATAAGAAAATATTTTGTTGACTCGCTCAATAACAAAGACTAGTCGGGGGTGGTCAAACCCGAGATTTGTCTAAGTTGTCATGTTTATGGGCAAAGTCGTTCCATTCATTTGCCAACTGAATTACGCGCCGAACGCTACAGATTTATTTTGAACAACATTATATAGTTTCCAATAAGATAAAAAACAAAATAGAGTACAAGAAGGGGAAAACGAAAATAGAACATATTTCAGTTCAATTTTTATTTTGGAAAACTGGTTTTCAAAAGATCAGTTTAAGAGTTGATACAGTTATTTTAAAATACATAATTATGTGTTTTTACGTAAATCAGTGAAGGGTTTGCTTGCTAAAATATGGTGAAAGCTATCTTTTTTGGTAATTGTTATTGTCCAGATTAATTTGTACGTACTTCGACTAATCTCATTGATGCTTTGAAGAAAATACATAGAAAAATAATGGTCCTAAGACTCTGAAGATAACAAACACAGAAATCTGCCTCCAATAAGACGTGGATATGCCGACTTTTTCTTTTTCCTACTATCATTTAATTTTTATGCGTACCACGCTAGCATTTACCTAACCACCCCTACAGTTACATATAGAGTATAGACCTTGTACCTTTACACACAGAAAATGGAAAGAAACGTGAAAGGGTACGTAACGTGTGAAATTATTTTTCATCTAAAGAGATTCGAATCGAAAATCTATAAGGATAAGCCCCAATACTCGACATTTATTTTAGTTAACATGTTCTCAAAAAGAAAAACATACCTCAATCATCAAATGAATTGTTAAATTTGTTACGCAAAATTGATTTAATTCTCGACTCTGTTACTCTTTTCGTCTTAAAATAAATAAATAAATATATATATATATATATAATAATCGAAAAAATATGAAATATAAAATAACAAAATCATTTGAATATATAAATTTAAATCACTCCCTTCTAAAACCCTGTTCCATAATATATGTACAGTCCATTTATGAGAAAATGAGGATGACCACAAAAGCCGTCAACTTCCATTCGTTCCCTAAACACGATGTCGTTTTATATAGCAAGAGCCGTTTTAACACTACTACTCCATAGCTTCATATCGTTCTCGTACGGCGTCAAGTTCAAATCCAAACACAAGCCTCTCTTCTCCGCCACCGGCTCCGCCCTCCTCGCGACCTCCGGCCGCCCACTTCCACCGTCACGATGCCTCCTCATATGACCACCCAACGCTTGCCCAATCGCAAACTCCAAACCACAAATGGAACACTCATGAGTCTTGGGCTTCGCCGGCGACTGAGCTTCACTCTCCGCCGATTTGGGTCGCTTATGGCTGGCACGGTGGCCGCCGAGTGCTTGAAATGACTTAAACTGCTTGTTACAGGTCTTGCAGTGAAACACCCGATCGGGTGGTGAATCCGATTGACCGACCCGAGATAGAAGCATCAAGCAGTTAGCCATGGCTAGATTCTCGACCTCTCTGTCGTCTTCCCAGCTTCTTTTGATGGCCATTTTTTCTCTGTTGATTTCAATGAAAACGATGAGGATGTTGGAATTATGGATGCAGTATGTATGTAAGCAAATTGTTGGAGATGTGTATATATATATGTATAGTGGGGGGGTACACGTGTGTGATGTGTTGTGGAAAATATGAAGTAATTGAGGACAGTAGAAGTGAGAGGTGATAGCGTGTGACCGCGTACGCCGTAACTGATGAGGTAATTGGATGAGTTAAGGAAGTGGTCGATTTCGACTTATGGTATTGGAAACTTCTTTGAAATCTAGAATAAACTTTAAAGTGTGGATTACGTTCACGTGCACCTCACGTGTCTCTCACTTTTTAGAAAAAATTTATTAATTTGATTGTCCATAACAATAACAATAACAAGATTGATGTCTGAGTGGTTTGAGCTTGGCTCCAAAGATCAAAAGTATTAGGAGGTCACATGTTTAAATCCAATAAGGAATAAAAATCCCCTGGCCACGGAAGTTCAAATACGGTGACTCCGGGCTATCTGCAAAACAGTTGGTCGTCCTGAGATTAGTCGGCTCGCCTAACGAGTTGGATATCCAGGTTAATAAAAAAATATATTGAGGATTGTAAAAACTAATTTCACACACACACACATGAATATATAATGTTGTTTTATGTATTAAATATATCATTTTAAATTATCTATTAGAACACATAAATATGTTGGGATCTTATAAACTCAATTTTGTTGTAGTGACAAACAGCATCAAGGGGTTGGATCTTAGTTTCTATCATTGTTTTATTAATAATTAGTGTCTGAACCAGCTTGTGTGCATCCCAACTAATCCCAAGGACCATGGAGAATAGCCAGGAAAATCTCCAGTGCCTTGCAGGACTCGAACCGATAACCACTGAGAAGGATCCCCAAAGGCCCAACCTTTATTATCAGTTGAGCTAGCCCACAAAAATAATGTATCAAATTTCTTGGGTTTACGTAAGTTGGTCAAAAAAACACAAAAATCCGCAAAAATTCAACAAATTGTAAAATATGAGTAATTTTCACGCTAAAATGAAACCAACAAGAGGAAACCGATTTAGATATGATTTGGTACACCTTTTAATAGAGTAGCTTCGTAAAAGAATATGGGTACTCTCCAAGTATAGCAACAAGATGAGTCGGCTCGTTACAAGTGTTTGTTATGTCAATTCCGAACAAGCTTAGCACAACCGGGATTTTGTCGTTGTGACAAGGCCAATTATTGCGAATAGTTTATTTTTAATTTAACAAACCTATGAATCATGGGTACATAAAGAATCATCTGATTCAACCATGATCAATCAGTCAAAAGTGGGTATCCAATTTCAATTCCAATTCCAATTGAATTGGATCAGATCTAAAAAGCTTGTTACATCTACAGTTTTTATATAATGTTATAATCGAACACCAAACTTTAATAAAGTTAAACATAACTATAAATTAAAAACAAAAAAGGTGACGGGAGGCATAAGTTATGTATAACCAAATTGACTTTTTACTATATTTCTAGATGTATTATTTTTTTATTTAATTAAAAAATTAATTAAATAATGTCTAGAAGCTTTGATTTTATTTATATATTTTTCAAAGTAATTGGAATGGAAGTGCAGTCTAATTCTGTAAGCTGCTTGCCATCGCCATGCCGCCCCTTTAGTTGAATTCCACTCCATGCTCCCTTAATTATCCTCACACTCGATATTATTATAAAATATAAATACAATAATTAAAGTGACAAGCGTAAGAAAAAAATCTGGACTATTTATTATATTTAATTTCAAACTCACCCATGAATCACGTTTGCTAACAGGGTTGATCCGATGATCTCAGTACATCTCATTCTAATCAGGTTTTTTTTTTTTTTTGAATTATGTGGTTTACAATTCATTGTTGTTTTCTTCTTTCATACTTAACGGTGAACTACTGATGATGTTAGTTTAATAACGAAAACAATAATAAATTCAAAACCAGAAGAACGAAAAAAGTAATTTAAAAAACACAAGGATTAATAAAAGTCTTGTTTCGTTAAGTTAACAAACCAGAGGAACGAACATCATAATTTACTCTAAATTTAATTTGGTTTTTAATTGATTGGAGTCAACTTATTTCCATTAAGCTTGAGCAAAACAACTGCGCTTAGAGCAAGATTTTGACTTTCTGGCGTAGCTTAATTAATGGTGCTTTACACTACTAGAAGAATCTACCAACCTAACCTTACCAAATGCAACACATTCCAACCGTACACTCTTTTATATATATATATATATATATATATATATATATATAATTCATAAATAAAGATTGAGAAAATCAAACATTACGTGACTCATCTCATTTATCAGCATTTTTTATATGTAAAAACTATTATCCAAACTCAACCGAGGGACCGTTTATTCAAACGCTTATCTGGGTAAGCGTTTGTCAAGTCACATTACCTTATCAGATGCATATGGAAGAACCAAATTAAATCTTACCGGTAAGAGTGAAGCCAGGGACCGAGAGAGTCTTACCAGATAAGTGAGGGCGACGACTCTTACCACGGTTAGCATTTACTGGGTAAATTGTTGCGTATGATACCGTTTTCGTTAACTAAAATCTTACCATGTAAGTTAGTGATAGTGTTGATTTTTGCTGATAACCACTTACCCGGGTAAGCGTTAGGTAAACGACCCTGACTTAATGTTAAACCATACCTAAAAAAGGCAGTTAAATTATATACGGTTTACATGTTGGATTTGGTTAATGGTTAGATAAGCAGAATTAAATTTTAAATTAGGTTTGCTTTTTAGGAAACTTGAAAGGATTAATATATTTGGCTCGATTCAAAATTTCTGCAAAGAAATTAATTTACGTCTATGAGTTTGAGCTTTAAAGTATAAGGTACGCAAGAAAGACTTATTGTCAACCAACATAAACGCCTTTATTGTATACAAATCATCTTTTATTTTTAATACTTTTGCCAGTATAGATTATACGATATAACTAAGAATACATACATACATACATACATATATATATATATATATAGAGAGAGAGAGAGAGAGAGAGAGTTGGGTTCATGCAAGACCAGACTGTTTTTGTGAGATTTGTAAGACCATTTTTTTACACATAAAACTTCACAACAAAACACTGTAAAAGTAAAAAAAAAATCCGAACCTTCACAACAAAAGTAATGTGAAGGCTACCTTCACAGTGTTTTGCTTTGAGGTTTCAAGTGTAAAACATTGGTCTCATAGGATCTCAAGTCCATATATATCTATACTATATTATGAAGTATTTGACAAAAACTATTTAAAATCATTTTTATGCATAAATTACTGTTTTATTGATGCATATTACTTAAAATTGAAGATCACAAGTAAACTTGTGCGTAATTACAACTTATTAAAGCTATATCTTTGAATTCGTGTAACTAACTATAGGTAAAAATAATCAAATACGGGATAAATATCTCATTTTAAATATAAAAAATCTAAAATATAATTAGGATAATCATTAGTTATAACAAAATATTTAATTATTATCTTTATAAAAAATTATATTATTAAACAATAAATAAAAATTTTCTTATTAAATCTAAATTAATTATAAATAATATATCGAATTAAAGAAAATTACAGAAAAAAACGAGAACTTTAAGTAATAAATTTAATACTAATACGATATTTTTTTTTCAAATTCTTATGATATCTTTAAATTTATATTTTATTCAAAAATAAAAACATTATCACTTTTATCAAAACCACAAAAAACCACATTATATCAATAGAGATAAAGAATAAAATGAAACAATAAAATTAAGATGTATTTTACTGTATTACGTGAACACCCTTCTAGTATTAATAAATGCATCTCGATCAACTCTTTTTTTCTCACACAAGTCAACATCGGTTTTTTAAATTTTCAATACATGATTTAACCTATTCTGACATAAATACGGTTCTATAGCAATGCCCTTTATTATTGCCACTGGTTAGAGCATTCAAATTTAAATGTGTATGAGGGTATTTTATTAAATATATCAAACATTTGAATAATATAATCAATGTTATAATATCTAACTTAGAAAATTTGTTGGATTGAAATACAAATCTTTACGAGGCTTTTGATTTTTGATTTTCCGATTTCAAATAAATTTTAAAAAATCCGTCAAAGATGTCCTACTGTATACGTGCCTATGCCAATGTTGTAAGCTTTTACACGAGAATTATCTATTCCAATTTTAGGATTAACATTCTTTTTCAATAACGTAAATCTCACTACAACAATGGAGTTTGATCCTTATCCCCAGTTCAAAAAAATATGTCAATAAACAGATAAAATGAACTTCCAATCACCAAACACGATTATATTAAAAATATATATATATAAATCTAATATTATTCAAATCTCAAAAATAAATTAATTTACACAAAAAATTAAAAAACAAAAATCCCTCCTGATAATTACATCACTAAAGATCATGTAACAATAGGCCACAGTTTCAAGTCATTTTCGTATGGTGTCAAATTCAAATCCAAAAAGAATCCTCTCGTCTCCGTACTTTGCTTCTTCTTCGCCACCGTCCGAATGGTTTTTCCGGTAGCATCATCACGGTGCCGTCTCATATGACCACCCAAAGCTTGTCCGATGGCAAACTCCTGTCCACAAATGGAGCACTCATGCGTCTTGGGTTTGGGCGGCGATTGACTCAGGCCGTCGTCGTTTAATTTCGGTCGCTTATGACTGGCACGGTGGCCGCCGAGAGCTTGGAACGACTGAAACGGCTTGTTGCAGGTCTTGCAGTGGAACAACCGCCGTGGTTGGGCGGATTTTCCGACGGTAGATAGGAGCATTAAGCAGTTAGCCATGGCCATGTTCTCGATCTCGGTGTCAGCTTCTAGAAGTCTTTTCACAGTCATTTTTTGATGTGTTTGTCGAAGGGTTGTTTGGGTTTGAGTGGTATTTATATGATTGTGGTGATGCAGATTATGTTAACGAGTGTCTTGTTGGCTAAGGAAGAGTCATTGGAAAGATAACGTGTGAGCGCGTAAGTGATGACTTCACTATGGCGTGTTACTAAATAAGGTCTATTTTATATAGTATTTTTTAAATCTGTGTGTGAATGATTTTAATAAATTATATATATATATATATATATGTATATATATATATATATATATGTATACACACACGAAGATTGAATAACAATAGGAGTTAAACTCTTGTTACCTTTATTGGTGTTATTGTGTTTTTTTTATGAGAATTGATTTGTTGTATTTTATTGGTGTTGATCTTCGATCAAGATTGATCTAAAGGTGAATTTTTTTTTCTTATCTTAATTTTTATTCTCATTAAAACTCAACCCTATATATAAGGGGACCTTTATTTAAGAACACATAAAATTATGAAAGTCTTAAGAATTAGTGCATCATGTGATATTTCATATGATTTTCTTCCATTTAAGAGTAAGATTTAGAATATCAATTAACATATATTTGTTTAACGTATATTTGTTTTACTATGTGAGACTTTTTAATTTGTTTGTGAAATAAATGTTACATCTAAAAAAGTTTTACATTGTTAACCGCATACATATGTAACAAACATATTATTAAAAAATTACGTTGTTCCTCAATATACTAATACCAGCAATAGAGGAAAAAAATCATACCAAACAATACTTTAAGATAATAGTTTTTACGATTATCACAATACATGAAGTTATCAAATTATTAAGGTAATACATATTAATATTCTTTGATAATCATAATTGAATGTCAACACTAATATAGTACACTGAAATGCGTTGGATCAATTTTCGTCTAAAACATAGTTCATAGGTGGATATAATATTAAAGTGATAGGTGTTGAGATCTAATTTTACGTTTCTTATTATAATCTCTTTTCACACAATTATTTATATACATACATATATATATATATATATATATGTGTGTGTGTGTACAGGGGCGGATGCAATAGTAAAAAAAAAGGGGGGACTTCAGTCAAAAACTTGAAAAAAATTTATAGGTTAAAACTTAGGTTTTACATGATTTACCTTTCTTTTTCCCTTGTAATTAGGTTAAAAACACATCGGATGATTTTACGGGTTTTTAGTCTACCTTAAAAGTAAACCCACGTAACAAAATTTTTAAATCCGTGACTTGTGCGTGTATGTATGTGTGTGTGGAGATGAAGACGGAGATGGAGTTGAAATTTGGATGGGTGTAAAGTTGGAGAAACTTCGTGGATGCTTGAAAAGAGTGACGGCCACGTTCACGTGAGGCAGCGCGTGGAGTTTGACGAGGAAAATGGATGCAAGTTTCTTTAAAGCTGCTTGTTTCGTGCACTGAGGCATGTTTTGGTACTCTCCAGTCTCCACACATGATTGGGTTGGGGGAAGATCCAATTAAAAAGATAAAAGAAAACATTAAATTAATCCCTCTAATAAAATAAATTTGTGTTCACAATTAAGTGTTTTAACATATCGTTTTGTATGATCCTAAGTTTATACGATTACATAATAAAGTATTTTATCTGAAAAATGTTGTAATAAATTTATATGATGAGTTTATACATCTTAACAAATTATATTAAGATATTTTGAAAATAAAACGTAGTATTAGTTGTTTATAAGTATCCAGTTAAAAGAGTGTTTTATTAAAACAAATGTTGTTGGTGATTTGTATCACCAATATCATTTAAATGTAATGAGATTAATTTGTTAACCAATGTAATCTTGATAAATATTGAACAAGTAAGGGTGGTGCGAAGTGCACACTTGTTTGAGTTTATTTCGATTTAAAGTATACCGTTATTTAGGGGCAAAGCCCCTAAACGACGGGGGTTCGGGGGCAGAACCCCTGGTAGCGGGGTCCAAGGGGTAGAGCCCCTGGCTGGGGTCAAAATGCTACTATATGGAAAATGCACGAAAATCCGAATTTGTTGATTTTGAACCCAGTTTTGGCCCTGTTTTTTAAACCCGGTTTGGTGGTTCCGAAACTGCCGTTTGACAGTTTTCAAATTTTGTTTCCGTATTGGTCATTTGGTTTTCGTGGGTACAGACAGATTCATAACATCAATTCTCTGTTCGAATTACTGAATTTTATCCGATTGAAGTTTTGATTGTATCATCGAAATATTTCAATCTGAAAGTAAATCACAACTTTCACTAATCCAAACAATCGAAACACCCAGAAATTCTAACAATTATCATCTACAAAGATGTGTTTATAGAATGTTTTATTTATAAAATGATAATAAAAAACTTGTTAAAACGCTCAAAAGTGTTGTATAAAGTTATTACAACATAACACACTTCTAGATTTGACATTTTATTGTTTAACAGGACAGGGCAGGACGTTGTCCAATGTGACATTCCGAACTATGAATTCAGAAATTTTAGGGCCCTCAAACTTTCTTGGACCCTGTTCTATATATTTAACTTGTATCCAATCATATATATTTTGATTTTATGCTCATGTTTTAGCGTAATTCCTTTCGATCTTGTCCATCTTAATTTGGCCTTCTAAGTAAAGTCCAATGCCCCAATCCCTTTCCTCTTCTACCAAATATGCCAATTCTTGATTTTGATTGCAAATCTGTAATCCCTTTTCCTTAGGTCTCTAATTTTGAAGATTGAACTCTTCTAGTTGGCTAGTCCTGTTCATCTTTGTTTTCCCAGTGCCTAATTTTCGGAATGAAACATCAAACACGACCTTGTATGATGATCTTCTTTTTTTCGTGTTCTTTATTTCTCTTCTTCTTGTTCGACAAGCAACAACCCTGCAATTTTGTTGACTTCGTTCATCATAATATTGATCGTCATTGTTTAGAGCCCTATAGCCCGTTGATAACATGTTGAAGGATAATTTGGGCTTAAAATCGAGCTAGAATTTTTTGAGAACTTGAGTAACAATAGTTGGTAAACTTTTATATGCTAGTCTTTTAATTAACGACTTATTGGAGAAAGTTGATTACAAAGAACTTGTTGAAAATTTTAATGTTAGAAGAAGGGAATTTTATATGCTATTTTATCACTTTAAGACATTTTTGTTGTGTTTTTATTTGTAATACTTTTAGTACAATATGTGGCGTGAACTTATATATTTTGTCTTTATACAAGTGTAATAAAGCCTCCAAAAAGTTTTGGAACGAACCTTTCTTTAGTCTTATAAATTTAAGTTCTATAAAGAAATATATTATGATATTTAGAATATTGTTAGCGTCCTAAAAACCTGATTTTATTGTATTGAATGTTGTTAATTAGATTTTCTTATGTGAAAAATTGATACTAACATGTGTTAGGAAATTAGTAGAGAACGCATTCGATTAAGGGGCTGTTTGGCAGTTGCTGAATGGAAAAACGGATAATATCTGGTGCAGTTAGCCTGTGATGTTATAGATGGTGTCAGAGTCGGGAACTGGATCGTTGTGCCAGCGAGGATGTTTGGCTCCGAAGGCGGTGGATTGTATGATCTCACATTGGTTGAGGAAAACAAAGGTTATCTTACAAGCGACTTGATATTTCATTTATCGGACACATTCTAAATTAGTGAGTCAAGGTTTGTGGACAATATCTGGTATGGTTAGCTTGAAATCGGAAGCATCTACGGCAACATCGGAAGCATATGCAAAGATGAATTTGTGACTTCCCCTCTCTGTAATTCTAGACATGGGAAGGTTTCAGGGGGTTAATTATCAGTTTACCTCTCTAAAGGGCACAAACACATAGGTCAAATTCATTTCAAGCATTGACTTGGGGTCAATCAAGAAACCTAATTTTAACAAAAATAAAAATAAAAAAGGAAAAGGAAAAGGGTGTTTACGTAATTAACCATGTCAACCACTATGGATAATGGGACAAGTGGGTTGAAGGGGTGAGAGATGAGGGGATCTGGGTGTTTGTGGGATCAGAGCGTTGTCGATGATAGAGACACAAAAGAGACGAAGATGAGAGAGAGTGACGAGGGTCTCCGGCGAAGATGATTGTGGCTTCAATCTGTGGTCTTTGCCCAAGATGATGTACTATGTGTGTGTATATATATATATATATATATATATATATATATATATATATATATATACACAAGAGTTTCCACATTTCGATTTTAATGTTCTATTTTATTATTTGTCTTTGTCAATGTTATAATACGATTTCATGTGTTGTTAAGACAACAATAATAATTTTATTTTTGAATAAAATATGATTTTGAAAATATCATAAAAATTTGAAAAAAAATATATCAATGTTAATATCAAATCAACTATTTAAAAGTTTTCATTTTTATGTAATTTATTTAATTTATTTCTTTTATTATAATTTAATTTAAGTTTAATAAYRAAATAATTTATTTTTGRTTTAATAATATAACATTTTATAAAGATAATARTTAAATATTMTGTTAGAACTCAATGATTATCTTAATTATATTTAGATTTTTTATATTTAAAATGAGATGTTTATCCTGTATTTGATTATGTTTATCTGCAGTTASTTACACGAATTCAGATATGGAGCTTTAATAAGTTGTACTGACGCATAATCTATTTTTAATCTTGAGTTTTAAGTAACATGCATTAATAAAAAATATTTTATGCATAAAAAATAATTTTTAAAATTTTTTGTCAAATGGTTTATAATACAGTATATATATAAAATTTGATTTAATTTAATAATTTATCTATTTTATTATTAAACTAAAATTAAATAAATCATGAAAAGACAAATATACCCCTCGAATTAACAGACATGTTTAACAAAAGTTAGTCTACGAGACTAAAAGTGAAACAAAATGACAAAGACAGTGATCAAAGGTGTAATTAATCAAAAGAGAGACGAGAGTTGGTAATGAATGATAACAACATGAATCAAAAGTGTAATTTTACTCTCGATATTATAATAAAAATATATTATTGAAATAATAAACTAAATTTTTAGTATAACAATTTAAAATGTTTGTCTTGGAAAAATGGTTGGTTAATATAACAAATATGGTTTATAGTTAGAAACAAATGTAAAAAATTGCTACTTTTGGATTCATTTTGGTCAATTAAATATGCATGCTGTGCCATAATTAATGTATTCAGTTGATACATTTGTTTATGCAAATAATTTTTTTAATTTTATGTGTTCATCAAATTATTACATATGTATCTTCATCTTCAGGTTATGGGCATATCTGGCCATTTGTACAAAATCACAATGGTCGTGATCGTAGACGTCTATAAAATCATATATATATAAGTTGGTTATTATACAACCCATGACATTTGTGCAATTAATACAACTCAATCTCAACCGTCCATTTCATTTGATTAGTATGTGATTTCATAGAAGTTTTGATTGTTTCTTAATATAAAGTATTGATCATAATTAATGAACCATATTCATCTTTTATAAATATTCAAATCATAATAAATGAACTCTCATCATTTCCATAAATATATCAATTTATTGAGTTGCATTGGTTGTACAAATGCGATAGGTTGTATTTGAAACAAACTCTCTCTCTCTCTCTCTTTCTCTCTCTCTCTATATATATATATATAGAAAGAGAGAAAGAAAGAGAGATATAGAGGTGAGTTTTTATACAACCCTTTACATTTGTACAATTAATACAACTCAATCTCAACCATCCATTTAATTTGATGAATATGTGATTTAATAAAAGTTTTGATTGTTTCCTAATATGAAGTATTGATTATAATTAATGAACTATATTCATCTTCCATAAATATTCAAATCATAATAAATGAAATCTCATCATTTTCATAAACATTTCAATTTATTGGGTTGCATTGGTTGTACAAATATAATTAATTGCATTTGAAACGAAATATATATATATATATATATATATATATATATATGATACATCTAACTAGTCAAATTTGACTATAATTAAAAATTAACATTTTTTGAAAGAGAATTGAGCTCGACATTATAACATCTTCAATAGATTTTTTGAAATGCAAAAAATAAAGATTTTTTAATCAATTTTATGTTGTAACAGATTCTTTACAACTATTCTCAAAATAAATAAAGTAGAAAATAAAAGGTTTTTTTTCTCCAAATATGGAGAACACCTCGGTATGAAGTTTTGAATATAAATATTTATAGAGAGAAATAATATTTTCATAGATAAATATAATATTTTAGTGTTATAATCAATGTCGAATTTTTTAAAAATAGGGAATCTATTGAGATTAATGTAATTTTCTTTAAAGATTTTAACTTTTGGTTTTTCATTTTGGAGAAAAGAATTTACAACGGATTAGCAATCCGCCGCTTTCGTCCACTCTGCCATCTCTCCCAATTAAAAAAGATAATTACTATCTTACATTACACATCAAGTAAGGATTAAAAAAAAAGTTTTTCTTTGACATTCTTTATCGTTATTATATAATTATGTCTGTTTTTGTTTTGTTTTAAAAAATGTGAAACAACGCACATTGTTTCACCTTATGAAATAACAATTTATCGTTTAACATTAGCGACATTATGTTGTTTTACAATATGAAAAAGAACACTTTAGTGTTTCATTTTCATTTTCACATCAAGTTTGTTTTGTTTTTACATATCAAATAACACTAATTTTGTTTCAATTTAGTGATATTGTATTATTTCATTGCGTGAAATAAAGTTTTGATGTTTACAGGTGATATTTTTATTACATTTTTTTTTATATTTACTGTATTTTGTTTTTTCATATGATGTTTTTATTATTTAAAATAGTCAAATATATTTTATAAAATGTAAGTTTTCCTATGTGTTAACAGTAAATAATGTAAATGTGAGAAAGTAAACAAGTGAAATTAAATTAATAATACGATAAACTAATGAAATATTAAAAGATTATTATCAATTAATGAAATTTAAAATATCTTATTATTACATATAAACTACATCGTATAAGATTGAATTAAAAACAAATAATAATTTGTTCTAAATTTTGGTATCTATAAAAAAGGGAAATGGAAAATAATCAAGAAAAGAAAAATTACTATCATATCCTTCTTTAGTTATAGATGAAACATTAATTAATGTTATTAGATTAAAGCGATTGGATGGTTGAGATTGATGCTCAAAGTTTTCAACTTTTTTGTGGTTCTCATTTGATTGCAAAAAGACAAAAATGGTCTTTGATTTAACGGAGCTGACAGCGACGTTAGTTAGAGAGACAATGACCAAGACAAATTGAATATCAAAAGGACCAAATCCATAATAAACATACCATAAGGACCATAATAAAATAAAATATCAAAACACATGAATCAAATCTACAATCCACTATTTTATAAAGAGTTAAATGCATTAAATAGCAACCTACTTTCATAATTTTTTTTATTACATCATTTTACTTTTGTTTTTCATTATTGCATCAATGTATCTTCAAATTATTTTTTATTAAGGCATCGTATTTTAAAAAATCTACCCATTATAGCAATGGGTAAACTGTTACCTTTTAAACCGGTTAATCACTTGACTTTTTTTTGCTTGTGTGGCTTTAATGAAGTGATGTGGATGACACATCATTTTGATGATTTAATTAAAATTAAAATAAAAACATATTTCAAATTATTATTAATGATTTTCATTTTTCATTACTATAATTTAAAAAAACATTTTTTTTTTGACTTTTTCTTTTTAAGTTGCATACAAATTAAATATTATAGAGTAAAATATTTCTTAAATAAATATGCTACATTATTTTCGAGATACATTTTGTTTGTAAAAAAGGTAACACTTCTTATTTTATGTTGTTAAAAAAAATACATATCTTTTAAAGTTCTCTCTAAAATATTAACGAAATAAATTGTGTTCTATAATTTTTTTAATATTGTTGTATTAATTGGACAAATATAATTTATTTTTTAAAAGATAATATTTTTTTGGTAAAAAAAGAAAAAAAAATATTTTCTTTTTTCAAAACACATATTTTTAAAAAAATATTAGCGAGATAAGTTGTCTTCTACTAGTTTTATTAATATTTGTATATTAATGAATAATTTAGAGTTTTTAATTCATTTAATATATTTATTAAATAACATGTAAAATATATAAATATTAAATTTTTAATAAGAACTAGTAGATGTTATAATAAAAATAATTTTGAAAGTAAAGGTTGTAATAAAAAAATCACATCACTATAGTACATGTGGACAACCTACGTGAACAATGAGTTGACATGGAAACCTGATATAATGGGTAAATTTAAATCAAAAGATTGTCCAATGCAATAATAGGTAAAAATTTTAAAGTACAATATTCTAATAAAAATAGTTTGATAGTACATTATTGTAATAAAAAAAATTAGAAGTACAATGATATAATAAAGAAATTTATGAAAGTAAATTGTTATTTTGTGCATTTTATCCTTTTATAAATTTTAAAAGGGTTAAATGCATGAAATAGCAACCTACTTTCATAAAAWWWYTTATTATAGYATTCTACTTTTGTTTTTCTTTATTACAACAATATACTTTCAAATTATTTTTTATTAAGGCATTGTACTTTAAAAAATCTACTCATAATAGCAATGGGTAACCTGTTACCTTTTAAACCGGTTAACCCTTTGACTTTTTTGCTTGTGTGGCTTTAATGAGGTGACGTGGATGTCACATCATTTTGATGACTTAACTAAAATTAAAATAAAAACTTATTTTAAATTATTATTAGTGATTTTCATTTTTCATTGCTATGATCTAAAAAAACATTTAATTTTTTTTACTTTTTCTTATTAAGTTGCATTYAAATTAAATATTYTTAGAMTAAAATATTTATTAAATAAATATGAAACATTATTTTCGAGATATATTTTGTTTGTAAAAAAAGTAACTTTTCCTATTTTATGTTGTTCAAATAAATACATATCTTTTAAAGTTCTTTTTAGAATATTAACGAAATAAATTGTCATCTATATTTTTTTAATATTGTTATATTAATAAATAATTCAAAAAAGTCTAATTAATTTAATATATTTATACGTCAAGTAAAAAGTTTTG